TTTCATACTCCCACGGAAATTTTCTTTTTGCAGGCTTACTTTTGTTACCTAGGGTTATAACAATGATTTTCTACAAAGTATTTCCCGCTAGGATCTTTCCGCATATAATATTCAGGATACTATTAAAATACGTCTTAAACCTTTTTACAGCTCACTTTTTTCTTCTAAAGACCCTTATAAACCCCATATTAAAAATTTAAGGGTCAATTTAGTCTTTATCAGGCCCTTTGCTACTTTAATATTTTTCGGGTTATTTCCAATATCCTAACAAATTTACGATACTGCTTTACTCATACAATACTTATTTTTAATTTTGTAGAAACTTTATTGGTTTTCCCGACTACGAATTAAGGACTGTTGGAATGAGTAACGTGAAAATTATACTAGAAGTGGTCCTAAAATATTTTATTGCTGGACAGTGTTAAATGTAAGATTTCTTAAGAAGCCCTAAAGTTCTGTCGTTAGAGACAAAAATGCCACTTAACCTTTAAAAATTATACGAACAAGATGATTTTTGCTCAGAATATCAATTTTGCGACCAAAAAAGGTTTACCACTTTTCCCTTTGGCTTCCCTGTAAAATCAATTCTTAAAAATTTAACTTAAATCTTTGCAAAAAAAAAAATAAAAAATGTAAGTACTGTATATTATCATCAGAATATTAATTCTAATATATTCGAGAACTGGTTTAACAATGCATTACTTTCTAACACCCAGTAGTGTGATAATTATAGATAACACCAGCTATCACTCAAGACTCTAAAAATTCCGAACAGTTCGTCTTCAAAACACAAGACGAACAATTGTTGAGACAAAACGAATTTGGAGGAAAAATATTTTTTCAAAATTGGACGCGAAAATAATTGGTTTAACTCGATATGAACTATAAGAAAGAAGTACCGACTGGAAAAGCAGTAAACTAAGTAGTTAATGTAGAAAATTATTACAAAAGATTAGGCGAATTAACTTTAAAAAGTGGAAAGTTTTTTATTGATTTTATTTATTTATTTATTGTTGGATAGTCATGTTGAGAAGACCAGGATGAAACACAATTTGGCTTCAGAAATGGAACGCGGGACGCCCTCTTTGCACTAAATGTATTACTGCAGAAATGTCGAGATCAAAGGAAAGACGTCTTTGCTGTATTTATTGATTATGAAAAGGCCTTTGATCGAGTACAGCATCACAAATTAATTAAAATATTAAAAGATAAAGGAGTTGATAGTCAAGACATACGATTCATAGAAAAGTTATAGTGGCGTCAAACAGCGACAGCTTGTATAAACGGGAAATCAACAGAAATATGTAAAATACAAAAGGGTGTCAGACAGGGTTGTATACTATCCCCACTGTTATTTAATTTATATTCAGATAGAATATTTAAAGAAGCGCTGCATAATTTGGAATGGGGCGTAAAATTTAATGAAATTCTGATAAATACAATCAGATATGCAGACGATATATTTATTTTAAGTGATGACATGAATGGATTACAATGCCTTTTAAATGCCATTGATACAGTGAGAAGAGAGTTTGGCCTAAACATAAACTGTTCAAAAACAAAACACATGGTGTTTAGCCGTTTAGCACATTAAGATGCACGATTATATGTTGATGGTCATATAATTCAAAGAGTGTCCAGTTTTAATTATCTTGGTTGCCATATTACTAGATCCCGATCAAGAGATAAAATGTAAAATCGAGATAGCCCTCACGACATTTTTAAAAATGAGATCATTCTTCTGTAATGATAACTTGCAACTTCAACTTCGAAAGCGCATGGTTAAATGCTACATTTGGTCAGTCCTCTTCTACGGTGTCGAAGCATAAACATTAAAAATATCCACCATTAATCGTCTGGAGGCCTTTGAAATGTGGCTGCACAGACGTATACTAAAAATTCCATGGACGGCTATGCTGACAAATGTGGCAGTCCTTGAGAGAGCAAATGCTGTTTGCGAGCTGCTTGATAACATCAAATGTAGAAAGATGGCCTATTTTGGACACGTAGTAAGGGGAAACCGATATAATATTCTTCAACTTATTATGATGGGTAAAATCGAAGGACGCAGAGGAATTGGTAGAAAGCAGGCCTCTTGGTTGAAGAATTTCAGGGAGTGGACAGGAATAAAGAGAGCTTGAGAGAGCTCGTCTGTAGACGAAATATTTTAGACAAGGTACCTACGCTAATGTGGTGACTGTTTCAGTTAACCCTTTTCTTGTTCTATGCATTAAATGTAATACGCAGGGATTATTTTGAAACGTCTGTGCATCATAAGTGATGCTCAGTGAATAGTATATTTATATTGAAATATTTTTTTAAATCGCTTGAGATATATTCATGCAGCACTGCTAATCGTGTCATTTAAAAGTATATTTACGACCAAGCATATGATATTGGCTGTATAAGTTAGGTAGGAGAGACGAAACTCGATCACCATATAAGCTCACCAGAACAAAGATATTTATAATAAATAAGAAGCAAAAATTCAAACTATTTTTCGTCATTTTTATTGAAACGTGGTAGGCAACATAGTTTCTCGAAAATCCTACTCTCCGAATGGAGCTAGTGGCATTGGTTTATTACTATAAAATTTTTTATATAAGATATACAGGAGTATAGATCTCTTGACCTATTAAAATAAACAACTTGATGAAAGCATCTATTTTGTATAATCTATTGTTGAAGATGAGCTGTTACATTATCAAAAACGTGCCAGGTTTTCATTATCAAAGAGAAGCTGTTGCACCTCATTCCAATTTGGTGAAACATTGGATGGTAAAATAGACTGTCTCATTGCCAATAATTCTCTATGTTCGGGTATTGGATAAGTTTAGTTACAAGCAGAACACCTAAAAATTTTTTCATCTCGCATATTATTACATTGACCCATTTTTTCATTCCGGAGGACCTTTTTAGTGTATGTGTTGCCATGTATTGCAGGGCATAACGATTGGTTTCAGTAACCATCAAATTGAGGATTTCGTCACCAAAAAATTGTTGAAATATATCATATATCATATGATTTACTGCATTTCCATTTGCATCTGGAATTTTTTTGTAAACCAGAATTTCCTGAAAAATTAACACTCACTCTCTCATGAAAGTTTGAACTCCATTGAGGAATAGGTTGTGTTGGTGATAATGATAAACGTAATTGAATGTCTTCTTCTGAAGATGAACTTGTTGATGAAGAATTATTTGAATATTTAGAAGGCACATACTCGTCACTTGAATCACTGAAATTTTCTGGATAAGGACTTTGTTGTCTCTCTTTATTCTCATCACTAGACTAGTAGCTTCTTTTGTTACAATTATGTCCATAACAGAGTGTCGAATTCATTTTTATAAGCCAAAAATAGAATGAATCCACTTCGTTCTGGGTCTTCCTCTTCTTTTGGGACCGATTAGTTTTCTGATTATTACTAGTTTGCATTCTGTTTGCTTTCATTCTTTCTACATATCCCAACCATCTGATTTTTTTTGACTTGACGAACTTGATAATGGTAGGTTCTTTGTATAAAGCCATTAATTCATTGTTGGTTCTTCTCTCCCAACCATCTTCTCTCTTCCGTCCTCCGAATATGCGTCTCAGTATTTTCCTTTCCCATCTTTCCAGAGTATCCTCTTCCTTCTTATTTAATATCCATGTCTCACCAGATAATGTTACTGTGGGTCGAATTACTGATTTATATATTCTGAGTTTACCTTGTCTAGAAACGTATTTTGAGTTCAGTAGGGCTCTTAAACTACCTAATTTTTTATTCCTTTTTGCTATTATGGCTTCCAGCTCACATTGCTCTTTTCCATTTTCATCGAAAACTACACGCAGGTATTCAAATTTGTCCACCCTTTTAAAACTATAGCTTTTACCACTTACAGTCCTCACACTAAAGTCTTTTTTTTATTCTGCTCCTCCCATGATCATATATTTGGATTTGTCTTCATTTAGTTCCAATCCGAATTTTTGTGCTTCTTTGATGATTTTCTTTACAATTCTTTTTAATTCTTTCTCGGTTTTCATGATTGTTTCTCCCACCTTCATGTTGCTTTTTCTAATTACAGTTTCTAACACTAAGTTAAATAATGTAGTGGATAAAGGATCTCCCTGTCTCAAGCCTCTTGCAACCGTAAATTGATCTGATATGTGACCCTGTCACGTAATTTTACACTTAGAGTTATTTATTGTCCTTTTTACTAGCCGGATCAGTTTCTTTGGTATACCCAAATGTTCCATTGCTCGATACATTTTGACCCTATCGACTCTATCATATGCTTGTCTAAAATCCACAAACAAAACGTGCAGGGGAACTTTACCTTCATAACAAGTCGTTTGTATCTTCTTTAATGAGAAGATTTGGTCTACAGTAGATCTGAAGAAGTAGAATATTGATTATACTCCAATTCCTTTTCTTACTTTTAATTCGTATTGAACACATCCTATCAAAGATAGGATTTAAAGCTACCACTTTGTCCTTGATACATTCAGCTACTAAAAAACCAGTTCCAAGCATTCTATCTTTACCTCTACTTTTGAAGAGCACTATATCTTCTGTATCAGTTATTTCCCATCCTAATTGTTTTGTCTCTTGAAGAGCCATTAAATCTATTTTATGCGTTCTTGCCTCATTCATTAGTTCTTTTAGCGCACCTTTATAAAAAGTTCCTTTGACATTCCATGTAGCTAAATATATCTTGTCTTTCTTCGGCTTTACCATTGTATTCCTGTCTTGTTTTGTTTCGTTTTTATAGATCGTAATTCTTTTCTTCGCATTGTTCGTTTTCATTTCTTCCCTTTTCATGCTGGTGCTTAGTTTTTTGCTTTGGTCTCTACTACCAACGTTTGGTTCATGCCATGCCAGCGCCATATTTCCTGATCGGAATATATTTTCTTATATCCTACTTTCACTTTTCTCCCTTCCTGTCTTAGTTCTTGCGCTTTCTGTCTGACATATTTCTGTACAATTCTATCCTTCTTTGACAGGTCATCATTAATATAACTAGTTTATATCAATTGTAACATTGTAACATTTTCTTCGGTTTCTTAATTTGCTTTTGTTTCGCATAACTTTTCTTTTGTCCACTTCTTTTTCAAGCTCAACCAGACAGACTTTTTCTCCCAGCTTCACAACCTTCTCTATTTGAACATCGACTGCTAATTCTACTTGTATAAAATTGTTTATTTCTTGTTTTAGAGTCTCTAGGACATTTTTATTTATGTTCATGCCTTGTATAACTATATTTTTACGCCTTTTTCCATTTTCCAAACTTTCTAGCCGTTCTTCTATTTGAAAAACTACCTGTTTTAGTTTTGTGTTTTCCTCTCGTAATGTTACATTCTCTTGTCGTAACTGTCTTATTTCTTCTCTATATTCTCTTTGTTCTCTATGAATTTCGCTGAGTTCTCTTGATTGTTCTTCTATCTTTATACTCACTTCTGTCATCATTTACATAATTTTTTGTACATTTTCTTCCATTTTCTTCTTTTTTTTTGATGGGAGATCTCCCCATTTTGCGACTTTTGGTGAAAGCACATTGTAACTCTTCCTCTTGATCTCCTTTTTTTTTGTCGTCTTTATCTGTTGTGGTACCGTCGCTTTCGAAATCTAAATTCGAAATTCGAAAGGGATATTTGTCCTTATCTTCACTGCTCATTAAAAAAATTTTGTTTCACCGCGATAAAGGATCATCTCCTCAGAAGCTTAACTCTTCTCAGTGTAACGTCTTAATTTATTTTCTTTATTTATGTTAATAATTGTATTGTGCCGTATATACTATTTCGAACCTCCCTAGTTACTTCACTTCTCTGTCGACTTGGCAACACCGCTTCCAAATCAATCAAGGTTCAATCGAGTTCGACCCAATATTGGTGACGTTTTTATTGCTTATGTGTTTATTCTTCATCATCATCAGTGCTGCTACAGCTCTAGTTGAGCCTTGACCTTCCCCAGTCTATTTCGCCAGTCGTTTCTGTTCATCGCCAACCGTTGCCACTTAGCCGCGCCGATTTTCCTTGCGTCCTCGTCCACACCGTCCCTCCATCTCAGTCGTGGTCTGCCTCTACTCCTATTTCCCACTGGGACCGATAATAGAGTTCGTCTGGGTGGGTAATTTTTATTTGCTCTTGACACATGTCCAGCCCATCTAAGCCTACCTATTTTTATGAATGATATTACATCTCTACCATTTACTATTTTTTTATACTTCTCGTACAATTCGAAATTATATCGCCTTCTCCAAATACCATTCTCACAGAATGCGCCCATTATTCTTCTTAGTATCTTCCTTTCGAAGACGAGCATAAGATTTGCGTCTGTTTTGGAGATGGTCCATGTTTCTGACCCTTATGTCAGCACTGGTAGAATGAGTGTTCGATATATTATTAGTTTGGTTTTCTGGCTTAAATTTCTGTTTTTTAGCTGCTTGCTTAGTCCAAAATAACATTTGTTTGCTAGCAGTACCCTCCATTTAACTTCTTCAGATGTGTCATTATCGTTTGTTATGAGAGAACCCAAATATGTAAACTTATTTACTACCTCAAAATTATATTGGTCTATACTGAAGTTTTGTTCGGCGTTTCTAGCTCTATCTCTGTTATTTGGAATAGATGCTAACATTTTGGTTTTTTCCTCGTTTATTTTAAGGCCCATATTTTGTGCGGCTGTCAAGAAGGTGGAAGTCATCTCTTTAAGTCCTCGTGTAGTACGTGCGATCAAATCCAGATCGTCAGCGTAAGCCATAATCTGCGTTGATTTATTAAAGATTGTTCCCCTATTGTGTAACTCGGCATCTCTTATAGTCTTTTCTAACGCTATATTAAAGAGAAGGCACGCCAGCGCGTCTCCCTGCCGTAACCCTGCATATGTTTCAAACGCTTGTGACATACCGCCTTGTATTTGCACTCTGCAGATCACTTTACTCATAGTTGTTTACGAGCCTTATTAATTTATGGGGAATGTTAAGTTCATTCATGGCTTCGTATAATTTACCTCTTAGGATGCTATCATACGCTGACTTAAAGTCCACAAAGAGATGGAACGTGTCAATATTAAATTCATTGGTTTTTTCTAAGATTTGACGTAGCACAAAAATCTGGTCAATTGTTGACCTACCTGGCCTAAAACCGCTTTGATACTCACCAAGGATTTCTTCCACGTACGTACTTAAACGGCTGTACAGGGTGTTGAAGAATATTTTGTACATTGTATTCAGAAGAGTTATACCCCTATAATTTTTACATTCCAACAAATCTCCCCTTTTGTGCAGTGGATATATGATTCCAGTGCACCATTCCTCTGGCATTTGTTCTTCTTCCCAGACTTTGACTATTATGTTGTGAATTTGGTGCATATTGCTGTTACCTCCATGATTGATGAGCTCTGCGGGGATACAATCCACTCCTAGGGACTTGCTATTTTTGAGTCGTGTGATTGCGTCTTTCACTTCAAATATTGAAGGAGGTTCTACGTGAGTGTTATTTCTTGGTCTTTGGGGTGACGCATCATTTTCCACTTCGGTACCAAGTAGTTCTTTGAAGTGCTCAACCCATCTGCTTTGTACTGCGTCAGCGGTACTGACTATATGTCCATTTTTGTCTCTACACATCGTCAGCCGTGGTTTAAATTCTTTTCTTGTCTTATTTAGGATATTATAGAACTTTCTAGTTTCATTTTGCCCCTTTAATGATTGAAGCTCTTGCATAATCTGGTTTTCGAAGGTCTGCTTTTTCCTTCGATGTATGCGTTTTTTCTCCTTCCTAAGATCTTTGTACATTTGCTCCTTATCCCGTGTTCTTCTTTGTTGCATAAGTTTATATGCATAATTTTTTCTTTTAGTGATATCTTCACATTCATCGTCGAACCAAATGTGTTTATTCTTACCTGGTATTTTTGCCAATTTCGAACACACTTTGAATGCTTTGATTATTATTTTGCACTATGCGCTAAGATTACTTACTTAATTTTCTACTTTATACTTTCGATATAATTGATTTACTCTGTACTTCGCGAAAAATCGGGTTTAATACAGGAGCAAATACAATTTATTATGTACACATTTAGCGCTTTGTAGCCAGTTCATAATACATATTACATATTGTTATTTTATAGTTTAATGGTTACAACCAATATCGCATCTATATCGCATATATAACATCTCACCTGACAAGACGATCTAAGCTTCTTCACCTTAAGAAGAAGAAGAACCAATATCGCGATACACCTGTAGACATCGGCGACTCAAATTTCTTAAAAATTATTATACCGCAACTATTTTCGATGGGCAATAGAAATATGGGGGCAACTATAGTTCCAAATGTTTACTTCCCCCTTTCCCTCATACTCTTTGCCGGTCTTCTTGGCGTTAAGAATTCAGTCACATCTGTGCCGAATGTGTAAAGTTTCAATTTCGAGTGTTTAGCTTTAGTTCAATGGTGCAAACTAAAGAATCAATATAGAGATACAATATTTCAGAATACAAAGTCAATTTTTTTCACTTTTGAGTTATTTGCAGCATTTTATTGTATTTTTTTTACTCTTTAGACTGCTTAAACTCACTAAGTCATACAATAAAAAAACGGTTATTTTTATAATTATCATGTTTCTCACTAAGTCTCAAAAACTTTATATGATTCAGGCAAAACACACTAAGTGACTTAATGTATTTCACTTGACTACGAATGAACCTATCGACTGACTTAAGCAGAGCAACTTGTCCAATCTTGTAAAAAATTAATTATTTGTTTGGGTATATTGCATAGGTTTTGTCAGTTTTATTCCAGTGTTTTGCGTGATTAGGTCGTTAAGAGTTTTGAATTTTGTGTGCATTTATTAATTAATTTCTGTAAGAAAAATAAAATTTTCTGTCGAACTACCTACAGCGATAAACAAAGACGTGAGCCTAAATTTTGATAATTTTTGTCAAGATATTCAGTCAGGTCCTCCTCAAATAAGTGATTAGGATTCTGATGAATGTATAGAAGATACTCTACAGCAGACGAGAAAAAAACAAATTTAAATGAAAATAGTCAAGTAGGACCTAAAAGAAGCCGATGGAACACCCCAAGACCATCTGTGTGATCAACATCCCAAGACCATCAACTTTTCTGAAGAGAACCGGAAGTTGCTATGTCAAACTTATGCGATGTTGTCATTTCAAAGACAGAAAGATTTTATATTATTGAATGTGCTTTCTAATGAAGTAAAGAGTCGCAGGCCTAGAAAAGGAGAAAATAGCAAAATGCGATCCAACGGAAAATCCTATTTTTTCATAAATATGGGAAAGAAAAGTCAAGTGTGTCAGAATTTTTTTTGTAAATCATTGTCTATATCTAATAGGCCTATAATTAATGTCTTTAAAAAGCAAAATGAAAGCGGCGAATATAGTGGACTAGACAGAAGGGGCCGTAGGATTCCTGGCAATAAAACTTCAGTGAAAGCAAGAATAAGAGCAAAAAAACACATTGAAAGCTTTCCTGTTGTAGAAAGTCACTACACTAGAAAGTCTTCAAAAAGACTTTATTTAGATTGCAATCTTAATATTAAAAAATGCACGTCCTGTTCGTTAAAAAGTGTAAAGAGGACAATTTGCCAAGCTTAAGACAGATAACTTATAGGCAAATCTTTTGCAAGGAATTTAATATATCATTTTTCAAACCTAAGAAAAACCAATGTTTGACCTGTAAGGAATACACAAAAGCATTGCAACAAGAAAAAGAAGCGATGGAGCTTAATTATAGGAGTCATTTAGACAAAAAAGAGGCTGCAATGAAAGAAAAAAATTCAGATAAAGAAGTATCGAAAAAGAATAAAAAACTTAAATCAATTACATGTGATATGCAAAGCGTTTTACAAATTCCATCATCGCAAGTAAGTCTCTTATATTATTTTAGAAAGCTGATCCTCTATAATTTTACAATTTAGGAATCTGCTCCACCAAATGAGGCATTCTGTTATTTTTGGACCGAAGTCAATGGTAAGCGTGAAAGCTGTAAAATTGGTACTTGCCTAGGAATGTACATTAATTCATTATCTGATATAGAACATCTAACGATTTTTTCAGATACGTGTGGAGGACAGAACAAAAATATTCAAGTATCTGCTCTGCTTTTACATATTGTTAAAAACCATACGAGTCTTCGGATAATTAAGCAAAAGTTCATGGAAAGTGAACACTCCTATATGGAAGTAGATTCCATGCATACCGCTATTGAAAGTGTCCAAAAAAATGTGGAGATTTTTAGTGTTCACGAATATGAAAATGTCTTTAAAATGGCCAGAATGGGCAACAATGGGAATAAAAAATCTTCCTATAATACTCGTGAAGTTAATTATAACGAATTCTTAGATTTGAAAAAACTTATACACAATATACTATTGTTAATAAGAAAGAGGATCAAAAAGAGCAAACGGTCAACTGGTTAAAGATAAAGTGTTTTAAGTATGAG